GACTTTTGGCCCAAATCGGACTTTTGGCCCAAATCGGACTTTTGGCCCGAATCGGACTTTTGGCCCAAATCAGACTTTGGTCCAAAATCGGACTTTTGGCCCAAATCGGACTTTTTGGACGGAATTGAACTTATAGAGCGAATCAAAGTTAAAGTGAGGTTTGGAAGTTCCACGGAATGAATTCAAGAATTCAAAGTTATTTCTTCAAAATTATCATTGCTGTTTTCTAAGCTGAACCAGAGAACTCTTTTGTTTTGACGCGGAGTTCTAATTAGCCCCCCCCCGCAAGAATCTATCTTAAAAGTCCGCACGGGGTACGGCCTTTAAGTTAGTAATTTATAAATGGTACCCCCAATTACTATAACAACTTTGGCAGATAATAAAAATGAAGAAAGCATAGCAAATATTAAATAAAATAGAATAGAGCGCGTAGTATAAAAACAGAATTGCTGTTAAAGAAAGAAAGAAAGAAAGAAAAAAGAAAGAAAGAAAGAAAGGAGAAATATGACTTAGTCCCACAGTTGACCTATAAAATCTGCATTTAAATCATGATTTTCTAGGTAGACACTGTCGAATCTGACATTTGGTAGATTTATTCTACTCAAACCAAATTTTCACCAGGGATTAGGCATAAATTTTACCATTTTTGAACTTTAAATGAAATTTCTGCACTTAAAAAAAATATCAATTTTCAATTTTCTTTTAAATTTCCGCTCGATATTTCCCGAAAAAAAATGTAAACTATTTCACAAGTTAACCTCTCTATAACACTATATACTTTCTGGCTTTAAATAACCTTCAAAGGTTGTTAGTCCGTTGATCCGCCTGTCCCTTTTGTCTTCAATATTTCCCGTAAATGTCAAATTTTTTAAAGTCCTACTTACACATAATTTCTGAATGGATCTTTTTTTTTTGACAGAATTTTCTGCAGCCATACTTCATGCTAACCACGACGACTATTATTTCTATCACAGAGAACGCTTGTAATCAGATCATTCCGTAATCATTTCAAGAGATTTCTGGAAAATGCAAAGAGAAGCCATGCATTTTCCATGCATTTCCATAACATGTCACAATAGCGATTTTTATAACATGTTTTAATATCGTAAAATAAATAATATTTAGATTTATTATATATCGAACTCACTTTTAAATTAAATTTAATTTAACATACAGTGAAATTATACTCCATTTGTTCGCATTTTCCTGTACAAGATCCACTAGAGGTGGAGGGTTACTGGATAAGAGGCACGATTTATGGGAATATGTGGGAAAGATAACGCTTAACCCTAGGCATGAACGGGTTAAGATTGTAGTAATTGGGAAAGTATTTTCTTGGGAAGCTGCTCGAGTGGAACTTACATCTTCTCAATGGAATACGATGGGAATGAGGAGGTTCGCTACAATAGCGAGAGGCTTCTCTGTGCGAAACTGGTTGTAGGGGGTGGGGGAATAATTCATCACCCACAATAAAGTCTAGAAAGTGATGCCTGGACAGTCCCTGCCCATAAATGGCAGTGGTATTCAATTTTCGGTCTAATCTAGCTCTTGTAAGAGTAAATAGCACAAGGAGTCAGGTACTTACTGGAGTGGTACAGGGAACTGACCATTTTTCCAGCATCTTTAGCGATGCATCGTATGTATGTGTTCAAGATGAGGTCAGGGGTGAGTTTATGGCCCAATAGACACTCAAGGCACGGGGCCTCCCCGAGAGAACATCCGTACATCGTGATTGGGGAAAATTGAGGGTCCGCCCGGTAATAATAGAACGTCACTACCAAAGGAAAAGAATGCAGAAAAATTGGAGTAATTCCGAATAATATTATTACAAGACACAAAATATTTCTTCGTCAGTTGGCTAAAGGCATATCGTCAGAAAAAGCACTATTTGGAAATTTCGGTGCAAAAGGCGAAATAGCGGGCTAAAAGGCATATCGTCAGAAAAAGCACTATTTGGAAATTTCGGTGCAAAAGGCGAAATAGCGGGCTAAAGGCATATCGTCAGAAAAAGCACTATTTGGAAATTTCGGTGCAAAAAGGCGAAATAGCGGGCTAAAGGCATATCGTCAGAAAAAGCACTATTTGGAAATTTCGGTGCAAAAAGGCGAAATAGCGGGCTAAAGGCATATCGTCAGAAAAAGCACTATTTGGAAATTTCGGTGCAAAAAGGCGAAATAGCGGGCTAAAAGGCATATCGTCAGAAAAAGCACTATTTGGAATTTCGGTGCAAAAAGGCGAAATAGCGGGCTAAAGGCATATCGTCAGAAAAAGCACTATTTGGAAATTTCGGTGCAAAAGGCGAAATAGCGGGCTAAAGGCATATCGTCAGAAAAAAGCACTATTTGAAATTTCGGTTGCAAAAGGCGAAATAGCGGGCTAAAGGCATATCGTCAGAAAAAAGCACTATTTGGAAATTTCGGTGCAAAAAGGCGAAATAGCGGGCTAAAGGCATATCGTCAGAAAAAGCACTATTTGGAAATTTCGGTGCAAAAGGCGAAATAGCGGGCTAAAGGCATATCGTCAGAAAAAAGCACTATTTGGAAATTTCGGTGCAAAAAAGCGAAATAGCGGGCTAAAGGCATATCGTCAGAAAAAGCACTATTTGGAAATTTCGGTGCAAAAGGCGAAATAGCGGGCTAAAGGCATATCGTCAGAAAAATCACTATTTGGAAATTTCGGTGCAAAAAGGCGAAATAGCGGGCTAAAGGCATATCGTCAGAAAAGCACTATTTGGAAATTTCCGGTGCAAAAAGGCGAAATAGCGGGCTAAAGGCATATCGTCAGAAAAAGCACTATTTGGAAATTTCGGTGCAAAAAGGCGAAATAGCGGGCTAAAGGCATATCGTCAGAAAAAGCACTATTTGAATTTCGGTGCAAAAAGGCGAAATAGCGGGCTAAAGGCATATCGTCAGAAAAAGCACTATTTGGAAATTTCGGTGCAAAAAGGCGAAATAGCGGGGCTAAAGGCATATCGTCAGAAAAAGCACTATTTGGAAATTTCGGTGCAAAAAAGGCGAAATAGCGGGCTAAAGGCATATCGTCAGAAAAGCACTATTTGGAAATTTCGGTGCAAAAAGGCGAAATAGCGGGCTAAAAGGCATATCGTCAGAAAAAGCACTATTTGGAAATTTCGGTGCAAAAAGGCGAAATAGCGGGCTAAAGGCATATCGTCAGAAAAAAGCACTATTTGGAAATTTCGGTGCAAAAAGGCGAAATAGCGGGCTAAAGGCATATCGTCAGAAAAAGCACTATTTGGAAATTTCGGTGCAAAAAAAAAGGCGAAATAAGGGCTAAAGGCATATCGTCAGAAAAAGCACTATTTGGAAATTTCGGTGCAAAAAGGCGAAATAGCGGGCTAAAGGCATATCGTCAGAAAAAAGCACTATTTGGAAATTTCGGTGCAAAAAGGCGAAATAGCGGGCTAAAGGCATATCGTCAGAAAAAGCACTATTTGGAAATTTCGGTGCAAAAAAGGCGAAATAGCGGGCTAAAGGCATATCGTCAGAAAAAGCACTATTTGGAAATTTCGGTGCAAAAAGGCGAAATAGCGGGCTAAAGGCATATCGTCAGAAAAAGCACTATTTGGAAATTTCGGTGCAAAAAAAGGCGAAATAGCGGGCTAAAAGGCATATCGTCAGAAAAATCACTATTTGAAAATTTCGGTGCAAAAGGCGAAATAGCGGGCTAAAGGCATATCGTCAGAAAAAGCACTATTTGGAAATTTCGGTGCAAAAAAGGCGAAATAGCGGGCTAAAGGCATATCGTCAAAAAGCACTATTTGGAAATTTCGGTGCAAAAAAGGCGAAATAGCGGGCTAAAGGCATATCGTCAGAAAAAGCACTATTTGGAAATTTCGGTGCAAAAAAGGCGAAATAGCGGGCTAAAGGCATATCGTCAGAAAAAGCACTATTTGGAAATTTCGGTGCAAAAGGCGAAATAGCGGGCTAAAGGCATATCGTCAGAAAAAGCACTATTTGGAAATTTCGGTGCAAAAAAGGCGAAATAGCGGGCTAAAGGCATATCGTCAGAAAAAGCACTATTTGGAAATTTCGGTGCAAAAGGCGAAATAGCGGGCTAAAGGCATATCGTCAGAAAAAGCACTATTTGGAAATTTCGGTGCAAAAAGGCGAAATAGCGGGCTAAAGGCATATCGTCAGAAAAAGCACTATTTGGAAATTTCGGTGCAAAAAGGCGAAATAGCGGGCTAAAGGCATATCGTCAGAAAAAGCACTATTTGGAAATTTCGGTGCAAAAAGGCGAAATAGCGGGCGAGATATCAGGGACGCACTAGAATTGTGACATAAGATAACGACGTCCTATTAGTTGTCCCCGGATTCGATCTTGAAAACGATTATTGATCAAATTAATAGAAGAAACAAAACTGATTGATTTTTTACGGCTTATCAATACTTTTCGGGTTATTTAAATTCAGAAAACATTTTTAAATTGTAAGATTTTTGGGGGATAATGATTTAATGATACGTCTTACTATTTAACCCATAACTGGGGAGAAGCGGTTGTAGGGAGGAGAGATGATAGTGGAGAGCACTGGAGCAATTATTCGCAAACCCTCAGCAATGAATATAGGAAGATTGATAAAATTTTTACGGCTTATCAATATTTTGCAAGTTACAAAGTTAGAAAATATTTTTTAGATTGCGAGAATCTTGTGGTGATAATAATGATTTACTGATACAAGCCCTATTAATTAACCCATAGCTGGGGAATGGGGTGGATTCATACATTTTCCAAGAGTATATTTTTATTATCAACAGGTTATATTCACGAATATTTTTAGATTGTAAGAATCTTTTTTGAGATAATAATGATTTACTGATAAAAGCCTTAATAATTAACCCATATCTTGGGGGAGACGTAGAGTGATACCTTTACTAAAGGTAAGTGACTATAAAGTGAATATAACGAATCCGACTTGGAACTCGGGTCTCCAATTTCCAATTCGGAGCTGTTATCCATTACACCACCCGTACATCCAAGATTTCAGTACCTAGTATCACCAAGCTGTCACCCATCTAGGTACTGACCAGCCTCGACGTTGCTTAACTTCGTTGATCTTACGGGAACAGGGGTTTTAAGCATGTATGGTCTTAAGCCTCAATTTTAAGATCAGTGTATCCCTTAGCCACCTTAACCAATGACTGGCGTATATTAGAAAATGAGCTTAAAAAGCAGCTCTATTAGGGCGGCATTTAAGCTAGCTCTTGCTGAGAGGGCTCTTGATTGGACTTTCATCAGAATAGATACGGAGGAGTAGATGTGATAGGCAACAATAAACTACAGATAAAATCAAAATTGATCTTTGTATTTAAGTATTGAATTAATATTATAAACTTACCTTTTAAAAGTTCAACGATAATTCTTTTGCCGCCACTTAATTTAAAGACAAGTTTGATTTACGTAGGCCCTTACTTTCCGTACAAAAAATTATTTTTATTTGATGGGTAACAATCACTGGATTTCACAATTAATTTCAAATATTCCCAAATTTATTTTCAAGTTATAAAAATTGTTATCGTTCAAAAAAAAAAAAAAAAAATAAATAAATAAATAAAAATCACCGAAAAACAATCACAGTAATGAAAAGTTGGGAATCCAAAATTTCAGGATTGCGGGTCCGGATCTGGTGTAGAATGTTTTTAAATTGTTCACAGAGTCAGCCTGATTCTAAAATGCTGTGATATGTTGGGATACGGCCACTAGGAATACATTTGAAAAAGTGTGACACACTGACAAACAGACATTCGCATTTATTATATAGAAGGTAGAACATGTTCTACCCTGCCAGAAACTCTGTTTAATTTAGCAGTAAATTTAATTATCAAATCGGCTGAAGCCCAATTCAGAGCCCGAACAACAGAAACAAAAGACTCCCACTATGATACATTAATGACCTAACAGTAACATCATCATCAATCAAGGGCGCCAGAAAAAAACATATAAAATGGGCTAGAATATATTTCAAACCCACAAAATAAAGATGACTAGTTTAAGGATACATTTCACTTTAGAAACGTTAATCTGAACACTCACTGAAAAACCAGTTAAAAACTCAGAGAAGATATTTCGAGAGATCAATCAGCAATGTTTTACTAACCAAAAAACATAGAGTAGGGCTACCAGATAGTTTTAAAGATGGATTTACCAGCACGCCATTTTTGGTAAGATTATTTAGCGACCGTAGGACAATATGAAATACCAAAAAAAGTTTTAAGAGTATAGAATAGGACGATAAATGCTTCGTAACAACCATTAAGTAGCCCCTAGGAAGAATTTTAAGTAGCTAGAAGAGACGAACACATATTCGACAAAACATCCAAAGACTAAAATGTCTCACCAGCAGGAAGGAAGTGGCAAGCGATAAGAGAATTAAAAAAACTTGGATTGGGGTGGGGGGAAGTTAAGACACAAAGCATTAACAAGGAGAGTGCCAAAAGGGTGGACTGGACTAAGATAACCTCAAATCCCACAAGAATTCTTTTATGTACCGTGTCCTTCAGGACGTAGGCCCTCCACCTTTTTCTTGACCCCTGTAGCTGTTAATAAGTTTTGCCTTTTTGTTATTTCTTCCAAACCCTGTTCTACCATCCATTTATTCAATCCGATTAAGTATTTTATGTGTTGCTTTCCTCTGTCCTTCTTATCCTCAATATGTCTTGTGAGTATCAAATTTTCCAAGCCCTCCTTCCTCATTACATGCCCCCAAAATTACAACTGCTTGTTATTGGTGTTAAGTATAAGTTTACGTTTTGTTTCTATTTTTTCCAAAACCTCGTCGTTGCTCACATGTTCTGTACATGGTATCCTCAGTATCTTTCTGTAGAACAATAGTTCTGTTGCTTCAAGTCTCTTCTTCATCTTTGAGGAGATTGTCCAACATTTGCTGCCATACAGGAGGAGAGATATCACGTAATAGTTCAATACTCTTTTCTTTGTTTCTAACGACATTTTTTACACTATTTCCATAGTTCAGATTGCTGTCCTCATCTTTGTTATCATATTCACGACGTTTCGGCCGTTTCGGCCTTGATCAGTTGATGTACGTTGGAATTTCGAACCGAAGCCTTTATTTCGTCCACTATGCCATGCCTTTTTTTTTAATATCCCATTTTTAGTTATGACAAGAAAGATGAAGATTACAGTGCGAAAAATGTAAATAGTGTAAACAGTTACAATACTTCATCTCAGAAATATATCATATACCTTCGCGTATAAGGCGACCTTTACATAAGATGAGTTAAAAAATATAGCAAATTTTCATGCTTTTATCCTATACCTGTAGTATAAAACGACTGCTTATAGTGATTTTCTAAGCGTAGCTTGGATGTGGCACAAGGCCGAAAGTAGGGGCACTCAGTGAGGATCGAACTCACTACTCAGTCGCAATTGATCTAGCAAGACAAGCTTTCTAGCCATTACAGTACGTCGAGGTGCCCGACTACTTATTGATTATATAAAGATGATGTTATTGGAAATAATGTTACTCACTGGATGCTTCGAAATTCAAAATAAACGAAATAACGAAACTGATTCTATATCATGTTTTTTTTGCTGCACACGTCTCCTTAAAAGGGAAACCATTGTTTTGTTTATGTTTCATCACGTGATCTCTTGGGAACATTGATTCTTTTCTTTTTCTTTTTTTTTTAATGTAAAAGGACTTTAGTTGAAAATAAAGGTTGTATGTAATTCTAAATTGTGTTGTTATTTAACACCAAAATGACAATGAATTTGTAATGAGAAATGAATATTATGTTGCCTGAATGTTATTACTGCTGTAATTAACACTACCATGATGATTATTAAAAGATAGACATTGATATGAACGCTTTACATTTTCTCAGCTGAGTTTATATGGATACAAGTTGATTTCATTTATATAGAGTTATTCTTTGAATAGGCAATTTATTATGAAGTTATGCCAGTAATATATAAGATAGAAATGGTTTTATTACTTTTATAATCAGTTTATTTGATAAACTGATTTGTGAATCTTTTCACGTATATCATTGGTTATCATTCAGAGGTTAGCCTAATAATAAACATCATTCAGAATTTAAGGTTTCCTTTTTAGAATTCTAGTATAAGACGATTCACAATTTTTAAGGATGATTTTTGGGATTTAATTGTCGTCTTATACACAGAAATATACGGTAATTTATTAGCACTGAATTTTCTAAACTATCAATCTTCATTTAGAGGACTTTGTTTAATCTTGCAATTCCACAAATGTCTTTTCACTGCAGTGTAATGCATTGTTTGCTAGGACAGTATCAGCACCACACATTGGGATATGTCATAATCATACACACAAAGATATGTGGTCATCTATATGGCTGTGTGTGTATTTGTATAATATACAGGATATCCCTCTAAAAATGGATATACTCTTCATAGCAACTATAGTTCTTACTTATGCCAGGAATAAATTAGGTAGAAATGGTTTTATTAATTTTCTTATCTATTTATTTGAATCTTTTCATGTACATTATTGGTTATCGCACCGAAGCCAAAATTAAAGTTTCTTTTTTAGAATTGTAACATATGAAGACCCCAAATTTTCAAGGGTGAGTTTTGGGATTTAAAGGTCGTCTTATACGATGACATATACGGTAAACAGGATTTGTTTGTCTCTTAATAAAGGGATTGAAAAGCAACATATTTTCCAAGAAGTACTTTCTGTAAACGAAGAAAAGCGAATAACCAAATTAGTTAGGAAGAGTCAGCAGTTAATATGCACAGAAAACGAAAACGTCGTGTTGCCGGAAAATAACTTAGATTCGTGGCGACACGTTTACAATCCAATCCGTTTATGACGTATTTGCTACTTCTTTACACCTGCATAAATCAGGCAAAGAAGAAACACTACGCGTCCATTATGTAACAGACGAGAATCCCTTCAGCATTTTCTAAGCAACTGTTTGAGAAGATTGTAAGAAGGACGTTATAGATGGCGCCATAAAGAGGTGCTGGGCACGATTGCAGTGGAAGTAGAAAAATCCAGACAAGAAAACTAATATCAACCGGAGAGAAAAGAAATAGAATTTGTGAAAACTGGATGGCAAGAAAAGATGGAAGGAAAATCAAATAAACACAGAAGTCGGCTGGCAATTTAAAGTGGAGTTTTGAAAAAAAAATATTGAAATTCACTGAACATATTTTTGAAACAACTCTTCACCTAGATATGATAATATTCCCAAATGCCACTAGGAAGCTACTAATATACTAATTAATAGAACCATGGGAGGAGAATATACTGCTTGCCCAAGGGAGAAAAATTGGCAAATATTTGGAATTAAGTAAGAAGTTTAAAAACAAACGCTGTTAAGCCCGGTGGCAAAGTCATAAAAAGTCAAGTGCAGAAGATTTGTTGGCAAATATTTTAGCACAGAGTTAAATCAAATTGGAATAAAATGTGCAGGGAGTTATAACTGTGAGCAAATTTAGATAAACTTCATATATATATATATATATATATATATATATATATATATATATTATATATATATATATATATATATATATATATATATATATATATATATTTTAAGCATTTCACCCCAAGCAAGGCGGGAAGCCACTAGGACGCAAGGGGTTTACAGAAAATTTGGAGCAAGATCAGATAGGAGTGATAGAAGAAAGGATGAGGAGAAGGATAGTGGATAGATCAAGGCAACTGGAAATGTCGATTGACATTACATTTGAATAGTTGGAGATTATAACTCTCAGGGAAACTGGAATAGGGAAGGGAGTTCCACAGGCGAGAGGTGCGAGACATGAAGCTATTGGAGTAGAAGAGACGGCTACATTTAGGAGTTTCGACAGTGAAGGGGTTAGAGCGGGATGCCAGCTTCGTCGGGCGCTTGAACTCATGAAGTCTGGGAACCAGGGAATGCAGCTCCTCGGAGCAATTGCCATGAAAGTATTTGTAAAACAGGCAGAGAGAGGCGACGGCGCGTCTGTGAGAAAGTGACTGTAGACGAGATGCCAGAGCAGGGCCAATTATATTGCATATCCGCCTCTGGAGCCTATCAAGAACCCCGAGGCAAACAGAAGGGGCTCCAGACCATATATGGCAGCAATACTCCAT